TAAAATCTTAGCTGGCAAAGAGAATTCATTGGTTAATAGAACCTGAGGCGCTTGATTAGTCAAGTGACATGTGATGAAAGCTGATCATCTGACAGTAGTATGAAGTGGGAGAGACGCTTTCTAGTTCTCCAAAGTGGCCATGAATCCTTGGCAGCCTTTGGCTCACTGCCGCATCACTCCAATCTCCACCTCTATCTTCAAAGGGCCTTCTCCTTGTGACTCTAGAGTTTCTCATCGCCCTGTTCTTTCAAGGACCTTTCCAGCATATCTTCAGTTCACCTTAACTGGTTACCTCTGTAATGATCCTATTTCCAAGTAAGGTCACATTCTGAGGTGGTGGGATTAACCTATCTTTTTACCCGGAATTAAGGTACAAAATTCGATCCATAACATACATATTCTTTCTTTCTTCCCCCGCCCCCTTAAGGCATAGACAGATTCTCATCTTTTGCATTCTTACCTAGCTATCCATGCACTCCTTTTGTTTTTTTTTAATTTGTTGATTTAGATATGCATGACTGTAGGTTGTATTTTGACATATTATATATACATAAGAAAAATGACAGAGATAAAAAAAGAAAGGAAGAGAGAGAGAAGACTCACTTTAAACACCACACTGATAGCAGTGGATCATGAATATGAATCCTTTTTATAACAGTAAAAAGTGAAATTTATTATGTAAATTTCATAATAAATGAAATTTTCATAATAAATTTCAAAAACATTTCTTTGCCAGCTAAGATTTTACATTTATTTAGGAAAGGGAGAATGGGAGCAATCTCAAGAGAGAGAAGCCTTTGGGATGAAACAAAGAATATGAAAGAGAAAGGAAAACATGGGCTATCTCCAGAGGAAGAGACAGTCACATATGTACTCTAACAATAAACATAATTATTGAAAATTAATGATATAATTAAATACTATACCATAGGACTATTGTCAATGATATTTGGGATATTTGCAACATTTTGTTGGGTAAAGATCAGTGGAGTTTTAAAGAACCTTATTAAGGGAAACATTATATCATAATTATCACTGGAAAGACCGAAAACAGGAAAATTAACCAATTTGTATTCATAACAATAATTCAATAAGGGACATTTCATTAAAATATTTATGTAGGTAAAGGGTAATTAGTTTTGTTTCAAGCCATTGCCATGTTGAGAGTTTTGGGAGTTGCCTTTTGTAGCCTTTTTTAAAAATTGCATCCACTGTCAGTTGTGTGTTTAAGACAATGAAAGTCAACCACAATTCTTTCTGTAGCAGTGTGTCTAGGAAAAAATAATTTGGAAGAAGTGTCACTTGCTTTGTAAATTATATTAGAAGTCATTAGCCTGGGTACAGAATATTCCTTGTGAGAATGGCTTTTAAGACAGGTGCTGAGGGCATACCTGAGAGTCCTATTAGCATAAACCACAGATTACAGGTTCCTCCTGATTTGTTAGGACAAGACAATGGCATTTGGATCAGAACTAATGGTGAAGGAAAAGATCAAGTAGTGAGAAGCCTCTATGGCTGGGAGGAATGCCTGGTTTCAATTCAAGTGTC